GAGCTTGGTTTGTTCTATGCCATCTTCAGTCTCGATTACGAGATATCTAAGTTTGGAGGAAGGTGAGGTATAGTCTCTGAAATTTGTCATCTCTTCAGGCTGCAAAAAAAGTCATCAAAGTCCAAATCAAGAATATTAGAATAGGCACAAAGGTCTAAATGGGCGAAATGGCCTCCGATGGTCGGGCCACATTGAGAGATAATCTCTCTGATAGTCGGGTCATTTTGAAAGTAATCTCTCCGATAGTCGGGCCATATTGAGAGTAATCTCTCCGATAGTCGGGTCATTTTGAGAGTAATCTCTCCGATAGTCGGGTCATTTTGAGAGTAATCTCTCCGATAATCAGGCCACATTGAGAGTAATCTCTCCGATAGTCGGACCATTTTGAGAGTAATCTTTCCGTTAGTCGAGCCACATTGAGAGTAATCTCTCCGATAGTCGGGTCATTTTGAGAGTAATCTCTCCGATAGTCGAGTCACATTGAGAGTAATCTCTCCGATAATTGGACGATGAGAGTAATCTCTCCGATATTCTAGCAAGGATAAGTACTCATCCCCTCACACCCTAAGATTGCCTTCTTCATGCGTGGATCATCTTATTAAAGAAGAACATATCTTTTCTCGATTGGCCTAAAAAAAAACAAAAAGAAAGATGTAGGAAAATGCAAAAAAAAAAAAAAAAAAAAAAACACCTCACTGGTACTCTTTGCTCTGCGATCGTCAAAGGGCACAACAAATTTGTGCTTACAAGTTGAATAGCATGCCTCTATTTATAGGGATGCCAAAGAGTATACGGAAAAGGTGTTCCTCGATGTGGGATCAACAGGAAAGGCGACTAACAATTGGTTTCCGTTATGAATTAGGATGTTGTAATTGTATTCCTACTCAAACTAGGAAAATGCTAGCCATGCATAATGCATTTGTATTTTAATGATGCTTGTCAAAGAATGACAGGCACGTTTCAAAACACATTCGGAAGTTAAGTGTGGCAAATTGCATATTTGTTCACCTTATTGGAGACAACAATGGTAAAAGCTTTCATCACTTCATATGTATCTCACGTGGGAATTGGACATTGGAAAAGATGAAGAACATTGTCTTTAGTGACATTGTCTTTATTTTCATTATGATATTCACAATTGATTTTGAATTTACACGGGCATGTGGGATACTTAATTCAACGGGTTGGAAAGTTTTTCCAACTTTGCAATTGCATAAACTTTAAATAAAATAAGATTGAAAATTGATAGCTTTCATCTATATGATAAGCAACTTGCAATTTGCTCAAGCGTGTAGGCGTAGATACTTCAAGCCTAGTCTTTTAAAGTTGCTAAGTTGATATTTTGTCAAGTCTGGAGTAGAGGCATTTGTAGGCATATAAAATTTATTGAATTTAAATTCAATAAATAATTTGGACTATACGTTAAATGTATTAGTCCAAATAAATATTATAGGCTAATATAATTGAATTAATTATATAAATCCAAAATATATGGATTAAATAAATAAGTCTTAATCCATTGTGCTAACCCATTTAATGGGCTACAAGTGATGAACCCATTTCATTAGGCCCAAGATATCATCTTCCTAGAAGCCCAGTTTGGTGCCACGTGTCAAATGACGTGGCACACTAAGTCAAATGGAAGAGCCAATAGGATCATGCCATGTGTCAAAATGACAAGGCATGCCAAGTCACATTAAAAGGCCAATGAATCACGCCACGTGTGCAAGTGACATGGTCTGGCCAATCAAATGTGGCCTTGTCACGCTTCAATCTGATTGGTCAGAAAGAGTTTGTTCTTATCATAACTCCTCCGTTCTACAACTATAAATAGGGGTCTTCATAACCCAAAAAAGACACCAGATGTTATAATAAGAAGCAAGAGAGAGCACGTGGATCAAACACTGCAAATTCTTCCACAAGTTTCAAGCTTCAAGCAATCAAGTTCAAACACAAGAACGAAGAACAAATCAAGTTCAAGCTCAAGAACGAAGTACAAATTAAGGTCAAATTCAAGCAATCAAGCTAAAGCTAAAGAACAAGATCATCGTTCGTGGCGACAACTACATATTCAAGATCAAGCTCAAAGGCCCTTGAATTTATTTATTTTGGAAAGAAGAATCAGAGGAACCATAGGGATTGTACACTCATATTATTTGAAATCAAATATTACGATTGTTGCAATATTTTTCGGTCTTGATTTTATTTTCTTGACGCAAATTTATTGTCTACACGTAGTATGAGTACACCACAGTTGGTACCCAGTAAGTATCAAGACTAATCTCGGTGGAGTAGTGACGAGGTTCAAGTTAAGACACACACTAGTCAAATAACCTGTACAATATATCAAAGACTGACAATAGGAAGAATAATAGAAGGCAATAACTAAAATCTCATCAGAACAAGTGATAATAACATTATACAAGCAAAGACTCAGTTTCAACAACGAGTCATCAAAATAAAAAAAACGAGTCATCAAATAGATCGCACACATACGACACCTCGTGCCCACATTACCAATCACCCTCTCACGATAAAGTCCTTGTACCACAATATCAGTCACACTTGCAAAGACCTCGTACCACAATATAACTCACACTTGCATGGCAAAGTGACGAACGCAAGAACAACACAAAATTATTGCTCGCTAGTAAAAAATAGAATAGTTTAATTATCGTCTCCACAAGGATTGAATTTAAACAATGTTAGAATAATCTTTAGTTAATTACTATCCAAAAAAATTAATACTTGATTTGAATGATTATCAACTACAATTAACTGCTAAAATTTAAGAAATTATCAATTAATTACGAAAGATAAGAGTTGACAACATAAAAATATCAGTAAGACAAATAAGATTAATTGACTAGATAGGTGCAAGATACTTGACTCGGAATCCAATTCTTGAAATAGTTCACTTTATAATACTATTAATTCTCGCGAAATCACCAGATAATTAGATTATACTTGATGTTAAGGTTCATCTTTCGATTAAATATTAATTATCAGAAATAATCCAACTGAAGCACTGTGAACACTTACTATGAACATAATGATGATTTTAGTCTAAAGGGTAACTTCTCATGAATATTTTCCTATTTTCTAGATCGATTAATAATTCAAAAGGCTCTTCCGATTACCTAGTTGAATCATGAATTTAAATTAGAGTATAAGAAACAATGAAATTCAATATAAAACTCCTCTTTCGATTAAGCAGAATAAACAACTTCACAATACAATTCAAAACTCTATCAATAAATTCAAGCAATTGTCAAGAATTTAATTCCTAATCAATTTATCAATACACCATGTCTGTCAACACCCTAAGGGAAAACTACGTCATAACAATGGAAAAAGTCATCTCAAGAAGGTTTAAAGACATAGAAAATATCAACACTAATGATTCGATACAAACTCCGTATTAAATCAATTGTTGGTTGAAATCTCGATGAAATCTTCTATCTTCTTGTCAAAGTTACTTTTCAAATCTTTCATAGGTCAAAAGTCCCTTCAAAAATGCATTTTGCTGTATTTATACCTTGTAAAAGTGGATCTGAACGGAACTAACCTTTTCAAACTGAAGGGGGAAATTACTCTAAGGAAATAACACAGACGCTTCGCGCCTCACGGCGCCCCATGCGGTGCGCCAATGGTAAAGTTCAGAGAGCACACCATTTTGTCAAGCATGCTCCATTACCGCACCGTGCTTCGCGGTGCCTCATGTGGCGCGATAGTACTTTTTTCTCAGAGTGATATTTTTTTCCTCAGTTTTTGTTATCCAAACTTTGTCATCGACCCCCGAACGACATCCTAGTTTAATTCTTTGGGTTTTTACTCAGACTTCAAAGCTCCAAATTATTCGACTTAGCTCCAATTTGTCTTCTTAACTCATAATCATTTCTTACAGTCATAAAATATGTAATAAGTTCAAGTCGCCATCATTTAAGCTCAAACACAAGTAAAGTGCAGTAATTAGAATGCAAAATACGGCTAAAATATGGGTTTCTAGCCTACTATCACAAAAACATCACGCCACAATATAAGTCACACTTGCACGGCAAAAGACCTCGTGCCACATAGTAATCTAATTTTGTATTAATTTTCAAATAACACGTTCAAAACTTTTCAAGAATCAAATAAAGTATAGACAACTCCACGTCGTTGAATCCATCTTAACAACCGAAACATCAAGTAATAACAAAGGTATAGATTGGCATGTTAGAAATCATACAACAAATCATGTATAAGTGCATGACACACACAAAGAAGTCATAAGCAAAAACAAGAATGCCCTTTTTTCACCACCACACAAACATCATCAATGAAAGTCCCCGGGCCATCACATATCATTCCCACATGGCTACCCTTATCTCACCGTGTGCGCAATAGTCACTACTGAAAAATTGATCTACGATAACGCTTGAAAAACCATTCCCACAGACTGTCAAGCCGTTGCCATAGGGATATTAGAACGGTGTACATCCTGTTACATCAGCTCGCGTGGCCATAGGTATATTGGAATGGTTCTTGCAACGATTTGCATCGCCATGACTATAGATACATCTATCGCAAAATTTTTCTCTTTCTCTGTTGGAACGATTATTTTTTCAATTGGAACGGTTTAAAACTGTTACTATATTGTTTATACAACGGTTCATAACCGTTACCATATTATTTAAAGCAACACTTATGTAAGTTATTGCTATTGTTATGTTGGATATAGCAATGGTTTCATTAAGCTATCGTAATGGTTATATTTGTATTTGGAACGGTTTATAGATCATTTTGGAACAGTTTATATGACCTATTGCAACAGTTTACATTGTCTACTAGAATGTCATTTGTGTCCTATTGCAACGGTTCTGGTAGGCTATTATATCAGTTCAGTTAAAACCAAAATATAGCACCTGTTATAAATAAATATTTATATATATATATAATAAATTATAATAACACTAAAATTTAAATACATCATAAAATGAAACTTTTAATAATAGAAATTATCTATCAAGCAAATAATATTCATAAAGCAAACGTTCTACCCCATGAGTGCATAAGTTTAGTACATTTCAAGAGAGTAAATAAGTTTCAAAAATGTTGGTAACAAAAGATTCCTAGAACATTCATATATAACAATTCAAAATTCATCTCAAGTAAGGTCTAGTTCTTCATTGTATTCATCATCCATTTCTTGATCTACTCCACCTACAAAAGAGGATAAATAAAGTTATTACCCTTCAAGAGAATTCGGTCTAAGAATACTCATAGCACAAATTGCCATAAAAAAAAGAACATGAAAACTCCAGAACCAACAATAGTAGTTGCAAAACAAAAAGAAACTACAAAAGAAGTTCAAGTCTTCCAAGTTGGCCATAAGATGCCAAGCCATGAACTATTTGCTTATGCAGTTAGGACCATAGTACCTTCTGGACTGGTATATTTCATTTTGTTTTCCTTATAGCCTCTAAAGAATGATGCTAATATATGCTTTAAAGCATGTACTACATTTATATTATATCAATATAATCAGGAGAACAATAGAACAACCATCTCTTTGCTAAAATTAGTTAGATCTGGCTTGTCCATGTTAGTGCAGATAGGTATATCATATGTTCTTCACCTACTCAATAATATTATATCTCACCATCTTTATTATTTTCAAAAGCCATTTATAAATTAATTAAGAGTACAAATTTTTATCCATTTGGTCTATAATTAGTTCAATTCCATTTATTGGTCAAGGAAAATAGGTTGGAGCATTTAACGCTACAACTTTTTTTTTCTCTTTTACGCTACAGATAAACTGGTGTAATCATTTCAAAATATAGCATGGCATGGGAGGGCTTCTACTCTCCCTTTCAATCAAAGAAACAGGGGATCCACAACCTTGGTACAATATCCTAGAATCTGTAGCACTGATAAACAAAGCACAACTATTTGTGTATCTGGTTAGTTAGTCAAATTTCAAAATTATTTATCACCTAGAACTTGGTAACACCTCAGATAGTTACCCAACTTATATGAGCTCTCCAGAAGGGAGCCACTTAACTACTTATTCATTTAGTATTCACTTGGTCCCATATGGAAATGCACAAAATCGTACCAAAGGGAGTAAGGGGAGGAAGAAACCAGGAGCACTCGAACATAAAGACACATCATATGCTACTCATAAAGAATGCACATTTTCATTTAAAATAAGGCCCTTGATATGCACAAAATCAGTTAGATGTTGTTCACTGTTGTACATTAGTAGGGAAACTGACTGGCAGTGACAACCACATAACCTTACATTTTTGTGAAGAAGGAAAAGATCTAGAACAACTTTTGATCTTTAACCATCGGATTTGGCTCACATATATTTGTGGCAGCCACCTCGTTCATGAATTATGATATTTGGATAGTATATGGCATAAAAATGACCAAGAATCTAAAGAAGACAGTACATAGCATAAAACTCAACTAACACAGAAGCGGAATCTATTATAAAAGAAGTTGGATACCAATAATACCAAAATAGGCACATCTATAGGAAGAAAAAAGGATATTACCATATCCACTCTGCCTTGAACCAAAGCAACATCCCAACCAAGGAAGGAGGAAAAGAAGAAATAAAAGAAGATGTATAATATTTGGTACGTACTAACCTTGATTGTTACCACCAACAGATGGTCAACTGTTTAGTTGAACAACAGCTTGTTGTGCAGAAGAAGCTTCTACAGGTGAATGTGCTCTGAACCTTAACATGTCAGGATCAAGTCGCAAATCTGGGTTCAGACGTTGAAGTCGTACGATGACGTTCGTTGTAATATTTTGTTCCATATTATCTTTTTGTTTGTTCAACTTTTCATGCATTCTTTGTTGCATCCTCTCTTCTATTTCCTCCATTTTCTGCTGCTTCCTCTCATCAGTAGAATCTAAAGAATATCCAAGATTCCCTTTTTGCCCTTTTAACACAGTCTTGGTAATCCCTTGTCCATACAATCTCACGCGACCTAGATATTTAGGTCCCATGACTGATGCAAAAGCATCAACTGAATGACTGCCATCTTCACTTTAATTGAATTCTTTGAAAAATGGAGTCTTGGAACTAATTCAAGTGAACATTTAAGAAGAAAACTATTGCAAAGTTTCTTTGCCCATTTCATTGTTGATCAATCTATCCCTTGATGTAAGTTGATGTTATTCTTACTACAAGTTAAGTAAAAACAGCTGCTACTTTGGAAATAAGCCTAGTTAATTGATTATATTTTGTAATCTGATTACACACAAATTAAATCTCGCTCCATATTTCTATTAGTGCGTTAATACTGATTTGTTTTTAACATTATAAAATTATTATAGGGACCAGTACACATACAAAATCAGTAAGTTTGTTAAATTAACATCACTTGAAGCTACCAAATAATGAGTCTTGTTACATTAGCCGTTGACAAATTACAAGGAATACAACCATTTGACCTATTCAAATCAAAGCAAACAAGAAAATCACAATTGAAGCATCATTCATTCAACTCCATAGCCAAATTTGCAATTCTAACCACTCGATATACTAAAAGTGCATCTAATCCGCAAGTCAAAATCAAATTTTCAATCAGTAAAACTCAAAGCAGAAGAAATAGAGTGGGAAAGGAGAACAAACCAGATTGCTATTATAGCGATCAAGATCCAAACCTTAAGAAAAACCAAGTATTTGCAGGCAAAAAAGGCTTCAAGTATCAAACTCAGTATGGAAAATTCCTTGCAATAAAATTAAGATGAAAATTGTTAGAATATAATATTATAAAAAGTTAAAGCGATGTAATACATAAATTACTGAGTAAGACAAAATATTAGTTAAACAAATCTGTTGCAGAACATGAGTTATGTCTGCAACCTAAAATATTAGTTAAACAAATCTGTCATAACCCATACCTAAGCTATGTCTGCCTTATTTAAATCTGTATTTGCATGAAATATAATGATTGTTCCACAAGCTATTTCTATTCATCATAATTCAGTCACTGGAAGTTTGGTACTCAAAGAATAAGGGTAAGGCAGATATCATCTATTCTTGCATTCTTTTGCAGGAGCCATTGTTAGTTTAATCAAATCCAACAAAAGCTATTTTTTTTATGATTATGAAGTGCTGCTTTTTATTAGTCTTCTTTGTTTTTTATAAGCCACAAAATTAGGACTAGCTTGTAGCAAAGCGTTGTCCATTCTCGCTCTTAGGACACACTTTAAATCTCTACTTGAAACATCATTCATTTTTTAGTCTGTATTGTTGCATTAGTTGTCAGAAAGTTAAACTTAAAGATTCAGGATCATGTATTATGTTAGAAGTTACAGTGTTAAAAGCTTCATTTCTTCTCTTTACATCTATGAACTCGACAAGAGACCTTACGCCATCCCTCATTATAGGCCTGGAATTTGCCTCGAGTTGAACATATTGAAGCATCGGATCCACTATTTTCAGGGCTTTCCATTATAAAAATCAGCAGCAAACAAAAGCCTAGGAAAATAAACACCCAAAAGACTACATCGGACACATAAAATACGTATGAATTAAGTACCTTTTTGCCAAGACTACAACATGAATTAAACACAGAATCCAAAAGACTATAGCATGAATTAAGAACCTTTTTACCAAGAACTAAAAAATACAGTAAAAACGTATGGCAATGGTAACATAAACAGTAAAAATGACCAAAAGAAAAGAGAAATTTACCAGGCTATGGTGATTTTGGGCTTCTCTGATTCGAGCACAAATATGATTTTAGAATTTGGGAATTTGGGGAAGGCTAGTAACTGTCCTTGAAGAAATGGGTATCTGAGTTCATTGGATTTGTAACCTGCAAAGCTTCGGAGAAGTGTTGGAAACACCGACGGAAAATTGTGAACAACGACCATGTTTTTGGCTTTGGGAACTCTAGGGTTTGATGATTATTGTGGTCCAATGAAGAGGTATTTGAATAGATATAGAGAGAGTGAAAGTGACAAAGTAAATCTAAAAGATTTGGAAGAAATTCGGCCAACAGAGGATTTAGAAGATGGATGCTTGAATCCAAAGGCAAAAAGAAAAGAGAGAGGGGAGTTTGGATGTATTGACTATATGACTATACTAGACGTGGATTAACGTTTATTGTATTTACATTATTAAAATTAATTAAAATATAAAAAATAACAGGTCAGTTGGGGGCCTCACTAAATTTGAGCGAAAAAAACGAGGGGGAATGAATAACCATTTCCATAGAAATTTTTTTCCAAAAACCGTTGCCATATATATGTCTATTGGGACGGTTTAAAAACTCATTGCGAAACAAACCTCTATGGCAACAATTTTGTCACAATTGCAGCGGTTTGATGCTAAAGTGTGCTGATACCACCCAAATTCTATTGTAACGGTTGCAACCGTTACTTTATCTGCTCTATGGCAATGGTTCACAAACCGTTGCCAAAATAACTGTTCTCATATGCCCATTTTCTGGTAGTGAGTAAAGTAAATGTCAGCCTTGTCTCACCACACGCATTTTAATAATCATCCCACTTTGTTTCGCCACATGCGCAAACCCGATATGACCTACCTTGTCTTGCCATATGTGCAATATCAACAATAACCATAGCGCGCCAAAAACCTCGTGCAAATACCCGTACAATCCGCCCCACATGTTCATAACGACACAATATGCCAACAATTGTCATCAAGACCTAAAATCATAATTTTTGAACGCGGTGCACAAGGATGAACCAATAAAAGAAATTTGGATAGGTATTCAACATATGAGCATGAATTCAACTAACTCACATTAGCAACAATCTCACAAACTCCCAACTTGGCCAATTAAGAAATTACAATCCTAAAACTTGAGCTTTAGCATAGAATAGAAACTCAAGTAAACAACCTAAGTGAAAACACGTAGTGCAGAGATCTCCCAAGCAAAACAAGGCAATAAAAGCAACCTCAGGTCAAATTCGATCATAAATTACACATACGACTGTGTACACACTCGTCACCTCATGTACACGTTATTTACACATAACAAAAATAAGTAATTAAGCTAAATCCTAAGAGGTAATTCCCCCACATAAAATTAGGCAAGATACTTATCTTAAATTATCCTATATCAACACACAAAAATAGTTTTTCCTTTAAAACTTACCTCAGCTCGGCTCAAATCTAACGAAAAATAACTTAGAAAATATCAAACAACGTAAGAGAAACCAATTTCGATCAATAAAGTTAAGAATTTTACACAATTTCCCAAAAATCAATAAAAGTCAACTTCGGGCTCGCCTGGTCAAAACTTGAGTCGAAGGGTAGATCTTGACTACCCATAATCCCACGAGTCCAAATATGTGTTAGTTTTCAAATCCGACTCTCTAATCTTAAATTTTTATTTTTCAAAATATAGTCAAAAATCCCTATAAATTCCTTTCAAATCCCATGATTTCGATGTTAAAATCCATAAGAAATCATGTTAAAATATTGAAATTGAGTCAAAATCACTTACGCAATAGCTAGATGTAAAAATCCTCTCCAAAGATCGCCTCCCAACAAGTCTAGGACTCAACGTGTGAAAAAATGAGACTAAGTCCCGAAATAACCAGCTATAAATGAGCTGCAAATGTTGCATTTGCGATATAGGGTTCGCAAATGCGAAAAAAGCATCACAAAAGTGACCACTGAGCAGCTCTGAAAATGTTGCAAAAATGACATAATATTCGCAAATGCAAACACTAACCCTTCGCAAAAACGACCGTTTGATTGCAAATGCGGTCAGCCCCTTGCCTAGATACCCATTGCAAATGCGACCTAAACTTTGCAAAAACGAACATCTAAGCACCATCCCACCTTGCAAATGCAGTTTCCTCCTTGCAAATGTGAGGTTCACAAATGCGAACATGATCTCGCATTTTTGAGTCCTGCAGCATCAGCCCAAAAACCAGCAAAACTTAAGCTCACTCAAAACACTCCGAAATGCGTTCGAAACTCACCCGAGTCATGGGGCTCCACACCAAACATCAGCACAAGTCTAGAAATACCATATTAACTTACTCGCGAGCTCAAAATACTAAAAGAACATCCGGAACCACGAGTCAGACACAAAAAAATAAAACTCAAGAACTTTTAGAATCACAACCAAGTGTCCGATTCCTACCAAACCAACTCGGGATGATGTCAAACTTTACAGTAAGTTTCAAATAATAAAATAGACCTATTCCAAATCTCAACACTAAAATCTAAACTCGATAGTCATAAAGTCAAACCATGATCAAACTTTAGAAATTTCTAAGCCTTCAAATTGCCAACTTTCGGCAATAAAGCTAATTGAATCTAGGGACCTTCGAATTCAATTCCGAGCGTACGCCTAGGTCCAAACCATAAAAACCTATTGGAACCATCAAAATACCATTCCGAGGACTTTTTCACAAAAGTCAAATCTCAGTCTACATTTCCAACTTAAGCTTCCAAACTAAGAACCAAATGTTCTGAATCAATCCAAAACTTTCCCGAAACAAAACCATCCATCACTGCAAGTCACATAGCCTTAAATACACACACAAAAGGATTTCAAAGGAAAAGCAAGACTCAAATACACAAAATGACCGGTCAGGTCGTTACATATTAATTCTAACTAGTTAGTATGACCTGTCCTATATGAATCCGTTATTTCATATTGCGTTTAATTTTGTACTTTTAAATTTACATTAATTAAAAATCAAATATGTAATTATAGACTCATTTTGCTCAAATATTCCATGGCTAGTATCTTATGGCTTTAGTTAAAGTGTGTAAAATGAAAAATTAGATTAAGAGCTTGTTCAAAACACTGATAATTTTGAAAAATGCTTTTTTCAAAAATATTTTTTGATAAAATACTTTTGGAGAGTAGTAGTTGGTATTTGGTCAAATCACTTGAGAAATGCTTTTCTATAACATTTGATAAGAAAATTATATTTGACACTATATATGAAAATTACTATATATTCTTGAGAAAATAATAAACTAGACACTATTGATCTATCAACTATAATACATGCATGGGCGGCCAAAAGGAAAAAAAATATAACTATAAACTAGATAATAAATTGGTATACTGCAACAGAAAAAAATTATACCTCGAAAGAAAATGCTCAAATTTGGTGATTAGTTTTTGGAGAGAAAAAAAAGAAATTTATTTTTAGTAGAGAGACTATTACAAAGTGAAATAAAAAAAAGGATTTTAGATATAAAAATAAAATATTAAAATAATAGGGAATAATTTGAAAACATAAATTTATGATCATAATATTTTTATTTTGAAAAATATATACTAATTTTCTACTCTACTTGTGCATCTGTCATTGTATATGGTAAAATATGTTCATATTAAATGTTCGCATGAGAAAGCGGTACGTGGAGCCGAAGACGGAAGACAGTCAGGTCCGAAAGCAACGATCTTGAAGAGAATGGTATTCATATAGGCGAATTTAATACCAACCACCTAATAGCATTTAATGGAGAATATTTTATAGTATTAAGTGCACGGTCCATTACAGAGAATATGACATTTACTGCCTACAGTTACACATTCTTCAATGGCCCTCACAATTGTCATTTAAGAGGGGCTTGATCCTAGGAACTTGTAGCTTAGGTACAACTGTAAATAGTGAGCTCTATGGCCATTGTAAGGGACATGAATTTTTTGACAAACCAATACTATATTTTATTCAAAAGCTCAATAATATTTTCTTGCTTATTAATATTGTTACTGCTGCCTTCCGAAGCCCTACTCCCGGAATCAAGATTGCTACTGTCTTATCTCGATTTTAATGCTAAATCTTATATTCTTGTCTAATTTATTTGTTATTTTGAGATCAAATAGATTCACTTATCTATAAACCATACATAAATTAAATTATACCGTTTTACGTATAAATAATTTGGCGTTCACTGTGGGGCCTAGAAAGTTGTGTAATTGAGTTGATCCTTGCATCTATTACTATCTCGTTTGATTATTTGTTCTTAGAAAAAAATGATAAAATGGCAGATAATGGTGTCAATATCGCACACAACGTTGAGGCCAAAGGAAATCAGCTTCAGTACGAAGATTCAATCAGTGATACCCACAATGAGGGGGATGAGGCCACGCCGGTCCACAATAGGCAATATCCACAACATGTTCGAGAGGCAACTCCTAATGATGCTGAAGATGAGCACGTTGTGTAAATAGTAAGGATCTTGAGAGTGCAACAAAAAGACATTATGGGCCATCTCTCACGACATGATAAGGTCATGACGGAGTTGAAGCCGGCATTGTCAGGTGCTTCCGGCAACACGAGTGGATGAGGCCCAGTTCCTCCCAGTGCTCTCGCAAATCAAACAATGTAGAGGGTCGATAACAAAACCTTGAGGGGCGAAGTCGGTTCAATGGGGGCGGGGGGAACAATAGCCGATCCGGTAACAATAACGAGAATGATCCTTTTAAAACCGAACTCATGCTATTTATGAGGGAAATAAATGCCCGAATGGATCAAATTCCGGACGCACCATCGGTGTTGAAAGGACCAGATTCAAATAAATATACCCAGTTGCCGTTCAAACCAAGCGCCGCACTAGAGTTGATCCCAAAACGGTTCAAAATGCCATACATGCCAAAATATGATGGGACTTCAGATCCTCAAGAGCACATCACTACCTATACAACAACGGTGAAGGGGAACGATTTAGCTCCCCACGAGATTGATTGAGTCTTACTAAAGAAATTCAGGGAGATCCTTGATAACTAGGGATTCTAGTATATTTTATACTCCTTTTTGCTTAAGTTTTGGATTAAAAATTTATACAAGTAATCCCGAAAGCTTACATGTTGTGCTTGTTTGCAGTGTTTTGGTCAAAAGTGACAAGGAAGTCAAAACCAGCTCTAAAAGGAGTGAAACCTGCACAAGTGCCAAGAACAAGTCAAAGCACCGCTACAACAGTAAATCCACCGCGGCTGCAATAGACCCACCGCGATCGCGGTTCTTTTATCGCGTCTGCGATGGCAAAAATAAGAGAAGATGCAATCCTGGAATTTCAAGCAACGCGACCCGCGATTGATTCTACGCGGTTGCGGTCCATTT